AACAAGTGAATTAAATTTAATTTTTGTTTTATTATTCTTTCTTTCTTTTCTTTCTTCCTTTCTTATTATATATATATATATATATATTATATAAGAAAATTTAAATTGAAAACTCTCTTTTAAGGGTCTTCTCTTGTGAGAAATCCCATTGAGAGCTTGAAATTATTGTGAAAGTCTCTACCTATTTATAAGAAAAAAATTCTTTGAAAAAAAACTCAAGAAATCTATGTGGGATTCAATCAAATTTATTGGAGGGAAACTTAAAATTTTGGTATCCCTCCAAAATTTTTGTTCTTCTTTCAATCAAATTATTTGAATTAAAATCATATGGAGGGAATATTGAATATTTGATTTCTTTTTCCAAACTTAAAATCTATATAATAAAGCAGGATAGTTTTTGAATTTATCCTACACACATTTGTCCTACTAGGACATTTGGACGGTTCAGATCTATTTAAACTATGTAACAATGGTTGAGGTATATTTTTCAAAAAATATCCTACATATACATTTTCTATTTTCCCGCTTCTCTCTCTCTCTTACTTTTTCTTTTTCTCACCCATTCTTCCAAGATCCCATGATCCCATCTTTCTCTCTCTTTTCTTTTTATTTTTTTTCTCCCATTTTTATTTTTCTCTCTATTTGTTTATTTTTTTTTTATTTTCTCCTTTTTGTTCACTTAATTTTATTCATATTATATGAAAAAGTCTGTGATCCTAGAATTAGGAGCTAGATTTTACTGTGTGTAGTGGAGATTAAATTAATGAATTTTATAGTTCGCAAATTAAATGAATTTGAACAATTAATTATTGTTTTTAAATATATTGAATACCTGATAGACTTCATAAATTTAGACCTTATATGAATCTTCAACATCTATATAATAAAGCATGATGATTTTTGAATTTATCCTACACACATTTGTCCTACTAGGACATTTGGACAACTTAGATCTATTCAAATTATAAAACAACGACTGCGATATATTTTTCAAAAAATATTCTACATGTACATTTTCTATTTTCTCGTTTCTCTCTCTTACTTTTTCCTTTTCTCACCCATCCTTCCATGATCCCATGATCCCACCATCCTCTCTCTCTTTTTTTTTTAATTTTTTTTTATTTTCTCTCATTTTTATTTTGCTCTCTATTTGTTTATTTTTTTTTATTTTCTCCTTTTTGTTCACTTATTTTTATTCATACTATTTGAAAAAGTATGCGATTCCAGAATTAGGAGCTAGATTTTACTGTGTACAGTGGAGATTAAATTAATGAATTTTATAGTCCACAAATTCAATGAATTTGAACAATGAATTATTGTTTTTAAATATATTGAATACCTAATAGACTTCATAAATTTAGACTTCTTATAATCTTCAATATCTATATAATAAAGCAAGATGGTTTTTGAATTTGTTCTACACACATTTGTCCCACTAGGACATTTAGACAGCTTAGATCTATTCAAACTATGAAACAACGGCTGAGATATATTTTTCAAAAAATATCCTATATGTACGTTTTCTATTTTCCCACTTTTCTCTCTCTCTCTCTCTCTCTCTCTCTCTCTCACTTTTTCCTTTTCTCACACATCCTTCCATGATCCCTCATTCATCTCTCTTTTCTTTTCTTTTTTTTTAATTTTTCTCTCTATTTGTTTATTTTTTTAATTTTTTCTTTTTTGTTCAATATATTTTACACATATTTTCATACAATGTATGTATACTCGTAATACACTAGAACAGTACGCGCATCTATACAATTTCTATATAATTATATAAACAAAAGCAATATTGTATGTATGCCCGTAAAAATTGTATGAATATTAGGCACTTCTATCTATCTAACTATATATTATACAAGCAAAAGTAAGTTTTCGTGAGAAGTTTTGTGAGAACTCCAAAATTTTATAATAAATTTTTGATTTTATCAAATTAAAAAATAAATTTAAATAGTGTTGGGATTACAATTATATTTTAATTCTAACATTATTTACACTGTGCCTTCAGGTACAGGCATACGCTAGTTAATAATATTTTAAAACATATTTTTATATTTTTTAGTAAAAAAAGTATTAGGAGAAATATTTAAGATTATTTAATTTTTTAAATTATAATTTTATTAATTATATTTTTATTTAAATATATTTTTAATATATTTATGACATCACGGTTCGAATCCGGTTCAACCCTACGGTTGAACCAGTGACCCGTCCACCTGATCATTTTTCCGATTCACTCACTGGTCCGATTTTTAAAACATTGATTAGATCACCGCCACCAACTGCCACTAATTTTTTTCCATTAATTTATTCACAGTTTATACGTGGTAAAATTATATTGGAGTATCGGTAATCTTGGGTTTCGCAGTTGGGGCCCAGCCAACAAATTATTGATATTTTATTTTTTATTTTTTTAAAAAGGAGCAGCTTGCCTCCCGTCCAAGATCGGATTGGGCGGTGCTGTTTGGTTCGTGAGGCTCATCACGAGTCTCGTTTTGATAATCTAGAACTTATCGAGTATTATATGTCTGTAAAAAATCACGTTGATCGGATATTGATAGGTATCTCATCGAATCAATTTTTTTGTCAACCGCTAAATTGTTCACCGTCCATTTTTTTATATACAAAACTGATTTGATCACATAACTATTGATATCCGATTAATGTGATTTTTTATAGGCATATAGAACTCGACAAATTTTACACATTCAACGGTTTAGATTATCAAAACGGGGATGCGTGGTGAGCCCCCACAGACCGAACATCACTGTCCAATTTGATCTCGAACTGGAGGCAAGTTGCTTCCTTTTTAAAAACCTTATTCTGTTGCGTAATTTTTTTTTTCTTTATATAATGAATCTCCATTATCACATATAGCCTTTATTTGGAATATGGGTTGATTTTTTGACTTTTTGACTTTTTAACTTATTTGGGTTAACCTAAAAAAGTGCACTTTTTTTGTGTGCATAAATACACTTATTTGGGTCACATCAATAAACATTTATCAACATCTATCAACACCTCCACTCTATTTTTCTAACAACTTTCTCTACTTTTCTACACATCTTTTTTTTTTTATATAAAAAGTCAAAAAGTACACTTATTTGGAACAACCCAAACCACCCCTTAGTTTGGGACTAAAAAGTATCATTTAAAAAGGGCTTTTTAGCTTTTTTTGATTTTTGTGAGAGAAAAAATGAAATGATTATGATTTGAGTGTGACATTTTATCTTATTAGACTAAAAAGTCTATTTGGTCTTTTTGTGGCTAAAATAGCCCAAACCTAACCCATCTGTGAGATACACTTCCAAACATGTTCCATTATTTTTATACTAGAACACACTTTGGATATTTGGAAGGCATACGATTCCATCATTTAAAAGACGCATGCAATGCATTATAAATTTGAATAAAATAACTTGGGATCTAATGATAAATGAAAAATAATATAGATTTACACCTACTAAAAGTCAATACTTTTTTAGACCTTAAAATTCATATTATGTTTTATATTTTTATTAACATTAAATGAAATATCCACACATAAAATTACTTATTTTGCGCCACCAGGACGCCAAGCCTTACTGTTAGGTCAAACTGCCTGATAGGCGAGGCTAGTGCTAGTGGGTAGTCACACATCATTACAACAATTTACACATTTTGCGACCACTTTTGCCGACCAAAAAAATTTTGGTCGCAAAAAAATGGCATTTGGCAACCAAATGTTAATTAGTCGCTAATGATCATTAATTTTGGCGACCAAATATTATTTGTCGCAGAAGGTTATATTTTGGCGACCAAAAAATGAGTTGGTCGCAGAAAGTGGTATGCTTTTGCCGACCAACAACAAATTTGGTCGCGGAAGGTCACATATTTTTTGGCGACCAAAAATTTGGTCGCCAAAAACTTATTTTCAGCAACCAAAAAAAATTAGTCGCCAAATTTGTACTTTTAGCGACTAATATTTTAGTCGCCGTTGATTGAGATTTGGCGACTAAAAAGGTTTGTCGGCGAAGGTACTTTTTCTGCGACTGATATGGTCTTTTGGTCGCCAAAAGTTTGGGAGGGAAATTTGATTTTTAGTGGGGCGGGAATTGAAATTTTTTTGCGACAAATAAATTTGGTCCCCAATTTTAAAACGACGTCGTTTGGTACCATGAAAGCAGAAAAAAAAAATTAAAAAAAAAAGCCCTAATCTCCCTTGTCTCTATCTCGCTCTGTGTCTCGGTCCGCCCTCTCCCTCTCTGTGTTCTTTCTCTCAATCGGTGCCCACTCTCTCTAGCTCACCGAAGTCCCTCACCACCGTTGCTCACATCTCTTCATCGGAATCCTCCACCGAAAAATCAACAGCCACCGAAGCTAATACGACGCCCAAGGACTGTAACAAGAGCGATAGCAGCATTATCGGTAGCATCAGTAGTAACCTAAGCAGCGCTAGTATTAGAGTATTGCCGGATATGGCTTTTGGTAATGGGAATCCGATGGATATCGATGAAGATCTGCACAGCAAACAGCTAGCTGCGTACGGACACGAGACTATGAGGCGGCTCTTCGCCTCTAACGTCCTTGTCTCCGGAATGCAAGGCCTCGGTGTCGAAATTGGTAGGACTTTTGAACCTTGCTGGTTGTTAATTTTGTGTAATTTTAGTGATGGATTGCGTGATTTTGAACCTAGAGTAGTTTTTGACATCTGATTACGGAGCTGCATATTCTTAACTTATGCATATTTTTTACATTTTTATTCAGATCATTCTTCATTTAGAGAATGGTCTAAATAAAACTTTTGAGATCACTAAATTTACCGTTGTCGAATGGAAGTGTGTCATGTTTCAAAACGTGCATACTAATATATAATTTGCTAGGGTATTAGTATTTTTTGGGAACACAAATTTAGACCCTATGCCCATTCACCCTACTGATTCGTATTTATTTGTTTGTTAATCTAACAGTTTATGTTATTTGATTTTTGGTTTCTTTCCGAAAAGGAATCTATATATAGTTTTTTTGTTTTCTGTGTGGTTATGTTGAACTCTCATATTAGAATTAAGTGTGTGATTTTCTACAATTCAACGTTTTCCTCTATATATGCATCAAACTGTTAATATTTTTCCAACTTGTGTCAGGAATTTGACTAAGATATTAGTAATAATAACAACAAACAGTTATGAAAAAACAATTTTAATAGAGTTGTGTTCCTTATTTATTTAAATTATGGGTTTTTATATATTAAAAAAAAAAATGGGCACTAGCAATGGGCATGAGATCGTGCACCTTGCGCGGCCATCTCAAGAGTATATATTAGTTACTGAACTGTGCCAATTTGATTGAGAAACTTAGTTCTGGGTTTGATTCTAAAGGTAAAGATTTTGGTTATCTGATTTAGAATTTCTCTTAACTCTTGAGCTTCATCGTTGATGCTCACAACTGATGAACCACATGCTTAATTAAATGTTGTATATAAATACCATAAAATATTATTTTATGTTTAGTTGTAAATACCACATGCTTAGTTGTGTGCTCTGTAACACCGTATCAAATTTTGGAATTAGTTCCTCTGGTACTTGCAATACATGTTGGTTGTACAAATACTTGAAATGTTATGAGAATATAGCTATTGGCATTTTTTGCTGTGGGCTTTTATGCAAGATCAGCACAGTTTTAGTTTTCCCATCACATATTTGAAATGCAAGTTCCATTTTTTGTTTTGCTTGGGTGGTTCTCTTGGATGGCATTACAATGCGTGGTTGTGCAGGAATTTTAATCCATGGGCATTTCATGTCGCAACTGATAAAACTGTATATATTGTTTCAGTGAAGGAATAATGCATGTAATTTCATAACCCAAAAAGTGCTCACACTTGTTTCTAATGATCTCTCATCTTTAAACTGTCCTTTTCCTTTTCCTTCTTCTTTATTTTTTTTTTTTTAAAGATGGGGAGCTTTAAGAAATCTTTAAGTCAATTTCAGAGAGAGGAAATAAAATATGCATGAGATCCCTAAATCATAGGATTACCATCACTTGCATTAAGGTTTAAACATTTAATTTTATCTAGGTGGAGATGGGAGGTTGATGGGGTTATGCTTAAAGGAGCTTAAATTTCCCTTTTAAACTAACCATTGCCCTTAAAGCTTCTTCTAAAAGTACAAACTTGCAGAATTTGCTGCATCATTCATTTTGAAGTGTGGTTCAGAAAGCCCAAGAGATCATAAAGTTTGTTCACATTTGTATAGTTGAAGGGATAGCCCATAGGCGTGATAGCGTAGCAATGGCTTTCTCCTAAAATTGTTTTGAGGGTTATGGATCTTGATGTCATTGGTTAATGGATGATTTTTAAAGTCCTGAAAGTGTGAAAGAGACCTTAAAAGTTTGTTTGAAATTTTTGGACGGGAAGGGAAAGAAAACATCTATTAGTATTTTTGATTGACTACCATAATTTTTCGAAAAGGCTTCATTAATGAGTATTTCTATAACCATATTTCAAGAAAAGAAGATGGATGAATAAGGAGTTGGAATTTTTGATGGACTACGATAAGTTTTCTATCTGAAAAACTGATCTAGAAGAAGTAATATTTTTCTAATTTCTTTGAACTGGATAATAAAGCTTAGAACTGTCTATGTGTTTGACCATGCTTATATTTGGCTTGATTCTTCTAGTAATCAGATTTTGATATGAAGAACTCTGATAGATGGTCTGGTGGAGGTGGTGGAGAGGAAGCAACACAGGATAATAAAAAAACAGGGAGTCTAGAGCTAGAAAAACATGTACTTTTTGCCATTGATGCATTTTGATGCAAGTTTTTTTAAAAAAATTAGTGAGAATGGAGATATAATTTATTATACAAGATATAGTTTTACAAAGAAATTTGCAATAGAAATTATCCCTTTTAGTATCTGTCCTGTTTAAGTATTGATTAGATTCATGACTTGATTTTTCTGCTCTAGAAATTTTTAGTTCACACATTAATTCTCAAGTTGTAGAATGACTCTTATGTTTTCCAGTCAACATATTACAAAATCAAGGGACAGCCAGGGGACTTAAGCTAGGGAATTGATCTGCTGTTTTCTTACCATTGGAAGCTGCTAGATGGCAGAGAAAGCATGTGTAAAGCGCCTTCAGAAGGAATATAGAGCCCTTTGTAAAGTATGTCTTATTTCCTTTATATGTTTGCCAACTATAATGACCACAATCTATTATATATTATTCTCCCTTAGAACTTTAGTTTTTGTTTCCATTCTACTGTCCATCTACCGTTATGAAAAACCATCCTTTGCAGTTCTTTTCTCCTCTTTCAAAGGTCAAAGATGAACAGCAAAATGGTGTGGTGGAACTAAAGGATGTTCAGGATAACCACAGGTATTTGCTTCTTGTTTTGTCTGTTATAATTCAGAATGCCTTCGTTTCAAGGACGTGTTTGGAGATGTATGTGGAATTGGGAGATTAATTGTCTGTATGAACTGAAAGTGTACTAAAAATTATTATTCTTGGTGTTACCCACTTGAAAATACACAAAAAGAGATCTAATAAACTGTTAATTTTAAAATGGGAACAGTCTAAGAATGGAATGAAATATTGTAATGTGTACATATATATATTGAGTGATATATTGAGATTTAAGAGTTACAACATTTTGCCTGTGGATATCGATGATAAATTCCATCATGTATTGATGGATATATCGCAAACACTAATACTATAGATACAGAAGCAACATCCGAACATGTATAAAATGGTTTGTATATATAGATGTGATCCCCCTCAACTTTAAAAACCTACCCTTAAATCCCCTCTACTCCTGTTTAAAGTGAATACACAGATGGCCTCAACAAGAAATGATTCTCACTCAAATTTAATGCCTTTGTTCTTATCTTTTACCTCACCCTCCCATTTTCTCCCTCGCTGTACCTGGACTATGGATTTTGTGGTGTGCCTTTCACCTGATTCAATGAGGCCTCTTGAATCTGATGAGTAGTTCATGGATAACGTCTATATAAGTAGTTCCCCATGCTCATTTTTGTGGTAAATTAAGAATTTTAGAGGGACATATTTACTCAGCAATTATGCTGGTATGACTTTGATGTTGAAGTGCAAAATCCTCAAGAGCTGTGTTCTTCAGATAGCAGAGGGGCTGCAAATTTGTTGATGAATATGGGAGGTTTGATGCTTCTTAATAGCTATTCTTATTTGAAAAAATTTTGCTTTTACTTTTTTTTAGTACTTAAATATGATGTTTTGTCACGATGGGAACTGTTAAACATAGTCATTGGTTGTCTATCTATTGTTTCTGCTAGATATCAAGAAAATGTATTCAACAATTCAATGTATAAAAACTTTAGAAGAAAGTTCCTATGTCCATTCACATAACTGGATTGGCTGAATGGAAGCAATTGTACCTTTCTAATGATGGAGACCAAGTTGTCAAATAATGTGTCGTGTTGCGTGCCCTTTCTTATTTTATTTTTTATTTTTTTTGTATTGCATATCATAATTCTTTTACATCTTGAAAATTGGTAAACATGGATAGGCAACCTTACATTTATCATGCCTTGTAAACTGCTATATGCCTATGACATAGTTTTTCAATTTCGAACCTGGCTCTGATTTTCTTTGCAGGATGTGGATGAGAAACTTTTGTATGATACTTTCAGTGCATTTGGAGTCATTGTTACAAATCCCAAGGTCAAACTTCTTTTCTCTTGCTCCCGTATAGTTGTGTTGTTTGTTTCTTATTGATATATATAATAGAACTGAGGACATGCACTGCTCTTCCATCCTTAAAATCTTATCACTATGTTTTCATTCATGCATATTATTATTTTTAGTCCTTTGGTTATGAAACTTAGTTTACATTATAGAGACTGTTCTTTGTTTTGCCCGTGTGTGCTTTCTTGTCATAGGTTCTTTGACTAGGGCATGAACAAATTGACAATGTTTTAATTTTTTTGGTATGGACTGACACAGTAGTTTGAGATAATATGTGGATTAAGAGGATTAGCCTTTACCATTTTCTGTTGGATTGGAGGAACGGGTAATGTAGGTATATTAGACAGTTGAGAACTTGAACGTTAAGAGAAACAAGAAGACAATAGGAGGAAAATTCTTGTCAGTTGCATCCAAATTCGTAGGCGCACGCGCACACACACACTAAAGAAAGTACGTGCAGATTTTCAGTCACGAATTGGGATTTTGGAATCTCAATTGCAAGCTGCGGGCGTGCCCGTTGCACCAGCTATTACACCCTCGAACCCAGTACATAGGCAGTAGGTATTTTCATTATTTTTACTAGTTATTACTTTAAATTGTCCAGAGCTACTATACAACTTTAGCCTCTTATTCAATGATAGGTTGTTGATTCACTTAGTAGTCATCCCACTATTCGGCCAATGTCACATCAACAACAATCTCATGCATTTTCATCCCAAGAGGTGAGCAATCATTTAATCAAAGCTTTTTTGACAATACAATATCTTATTAATCACAATATTTGTCCTTATTAAATATAGGTTCACCTTTCAAAGAAAGGGAAGAAGAAGAAGAAGAAGAA